CATTTACTAAGACAATTCCAGTATTAAATAATGAATAAATGAAAAACACAGCTATTCAATTAATAACAACTCGGAGTAAATCAAGTCTGCTATTATCATTTGGCTATTGTCAATAGAATTCAACATAGGTGTCACACACAGAACTGAAACACTGGCATATATTAATATAAAGTAGAAGCAAATTATATAGTGACTATTAATGTAAACACAATGTGAGCTCAGTTATCCGAAGTCTGCTACCCCGAATATTTGGGTTATCCAGCCAGAGTTGTCTGGATAATTTTCTGGCAAAACGTCTCCATATCCAGACAGAAACCTGGGTATCCAGAGATTTGGTTAAGTAAATTTTCAAGAACTATACGTTTGAAAATTGATATTATCAAATAAGGAGACACCCTACAACACGGTAAGGTGATGTTTGTTTTAAATTTTATTTTGTATTTATAGTGTGTAGAAATTTGAATTATGTTGGTTGTGGTAAAAAAAACTGTAAATACTGTGTGGCTGTTTTTGGACTTCCTTGTTAAGAATTCTGCTTACCTGCCTATCTGCATGATAATCCGGTCCGGATTATCCTTCCTATATAGTCCGGATAAATAAGCTTGAACAGTATTGTACATATGTCACTTATCACTTGGTCAAATGTACATGAGTAAATCAAATAAAAATTGTAAAACCACTGGTAATACAGTACAGTACAGTATATTAATTTATTGAAGAATGAACATACTAAACTCAGTCTTCATCCAAACCAGTTATGATCAAAGTAGAAGGCAGATTTCACAGGATTGTGTTAAAAAAGTTCTTTATTTACTTATTTGCAATTACTGTTATAACAATACCACCTCAGCCTCATAAAAAAGTACATCCTAGCACAGAAATTTATACAGTATATATTTATATCAAAACACTTTGCACCTTGACAGTCTGGTACGCATTGAGGTTAATATGAAGAGGCGTCAACCATGATAGCATTGATAAATTCTCATATCTGACACTAAATACTGATCACTGCTCTCCAACACAGAAAAAATGTCTTTAATTTGCAACAACTGTTGACCCCTCCAGTAAGCTAGAGATAGAAGATGGAAGACGGGGGGAAGGGGGGGGTACCAGTTGCAAAACCTCATTCCAGCTCGTCAATTAGCACTGGTGGTCCAACCTCTCTGCATGTTACCAACAGTAAATGTTCTGGGCTTCATGGCCCACTCACAGGCTGCTCAGCAATGAGAATTTTTTTTTACAATTATTTTGTTTTCTCAGTTATTTGTTGTTTATAACTAGAAACTTGGTGTGAATATGTTTGCAAATAAATTCTCTAGAGAATAGATGCAAGAGCAAAACTGTAATTATAATAGATTGTGCGATGAATATACAGATGTTTTTGAATAGCATTTGGAGGACACATTTTAGCATCATTGGAACATTTGCTGTCAGAGTACTGATGATGCTAAAACACATCAGAATGCGCCTCCTCCCTATCTGGCCCGTTGTCGTTGTGAGGGAGCTTGGTGGGCGGCTGCTGGAGTGTGATGCTCCATGGATCAGTCCTCTATCCTTTTGGGGCCTTGTGCTCCTGCTGTTGTCTTTAATTGTGCTGGATCTCTTTTTTTTCCTTTCCCTTGTTTAATTCCCCCCCCCCCCCCCCCTCTTGTCCTTTCTAATTGTCATTTCCTGCCGACCTTTTGCCAGTCTTGATTATTCTCTTGGACTTCTTCTGTTTTGATGCCCAGGTATTTGAGGAGGCAAACTCTCTCACCCGTAGAACTGTGATATCCAAACATCTCAAGCGAGGGGACGCTTTTATTGTCAGTCCTTCTTTCTTCACTGAACCCTATCTCAACGGACTGATGGTTCTTAAGGTGGCGTTTGTGGGGAGTATACTCACGACGCACTTCTGGGACGCCCCGGCAAGACCTGCAACATGTCTCTTGTTGGGTGTCCAATCCTCTAATTTTGTACTCACCTAGTTGTGTTTGCGGGGGTTGAGCTCTGGCTCTTTGGTCCCGCCTCTCAACCGTCAATCAACAGGTGTACAGATTCCTGAGCCTATTGGGCTCTATCATATCTACACTTGAAACTGTGTATGGAGTCAGCCTCCACCACATCACCCCCTAATGCATTCCATTTGTGTGTGTGTGTGTGTGTGTGTGTGTGTGTGTGTGTGTGTGTGGTGGGTGTGGGGGGCACATTCGTGAATGAAAGTCTTCCTTCTCGTTTTCATGCCGATGACTCCTATTCCTCTTATGACTTCTTGAGCTCGTGGGGTGGGCTACCAGGCCCCCGAGTTGGACTGTGTTGGAAGACCGGGCTCTGTAGCCCATGCTACATTGGGCCCAGACCTAGCTGCTCCTGACTATTTCCCTCGGCTCCCCCTCCCTCCTCTGTGGTTGGATTGAGCCCTATGCCCCCAGTGGTGAGCACCTTGTCCCCTGGCCCAGCTCTGTCTCTTATTGTAACTACTGCACCTTTTAACCCCTCTCTGGGCGTTCTCAACGCCGTCCCCATTGTGGCCACACTCACACGATCCCTTCCCATTCTAATTCATACCACGCCTTGTTTAGTCCTGCTACGTGGACTAAGTATTTTGATTAGATTCTACTCCTGCCAATTTTTCCCTCCATAGGCACCGTGTTGATTCCGTGGAAGTTTCTTGTTACTTTCAAGCCCACCCATCTCGGTACAAGTGTCATTGCTGCTCCTCAGGATGCAGCTACCCGCTTGGCCGCCTTATCTTGCATTGGTGAGACCCCTGTTTGGGTCTCCAAGAACGCTCGGTTAAAAACCAGTGTTGGCACTCTTCTCCCGCACCATGTTCTGACTGGTGTTAGGAATCTAAAGGACTGCCACGAAGATTTCAAGCGTATCCTTGAAGCCCAGGGCCATTATGTCCTCCAGGTGGACACGTTTACATGTCTCCCTCACGGTCGTCGCCGTCAGCCCCTTCGAGTTGTGAAAATTACCTTTGATGGTAGGATCCTTCTGCCCTCTGTCATTCTTGCTGGTGCCAGGTGCTTCATTCAGGAGTACATTCCTTCTCCTCGGCTCTGTAATGAGTGCTAGAAGTTTGGGCATGGTGCCCTCCGATGCTCCAGTACTCTCTCTCTCTCTCTCTCTGTCCCTTGTGTGGGGACGAAGGTCATTCTTAAATCAGAGTGCACTTCTCCCCAGACTCGCTGCCTCAATTGCAGTGAGGCCCACCATACCTTCTCCCGGGCATGTATACATTACAAGCTTGAGGCAGCCGTCCTCAACTTGAAGCACCGGGAACGTTTGTCTTTTCCTGAGGTGAGGTGCCAAGTTCGCCGTCTTCCCCCTTTCGCTGGTGTCTTTTATGCTCACGTGTTGCGCTCTTCCTCTCCTCATCCTTCCCACCTTCCTCAGTCTCACAACCATTTCCAGGCCTTAGACCCAGACACACCCACCGCCTCCTTCCCTGTTCCTTTACGTTCTGTCCCGAAGGGGCCCCCTCCTGGTTCTCTATCTGGGGTTCCCAGACGTCTCGACTGTACGTCTCTCGTACAGTCGTGCATGTCCTTTTTTAATATCCTGACTTCCAGGATGAGCATGTGTCTTGCTTTCCGACCGTCCTTCGCGGTCGCTTGACCTTCAATAGAATTCTTGGTGAATCAAATACTTTTGGTATCATTTGCCTTATGCGTTTCTGTTCTTGTATTGGCATCCTTGGTGATATTTAGTGTCCTCTGATTATTCCGCACATTTGATGGTGCTACATACCTTCCCAGGTTGGTGCCTTTTTTTGATAATTACTTACTTGTTGCTCAAGTAAATTATTGGCATCAGGGTGAGAAAGCGCTGGAGAGCTATGGAAAGGTCTTGCTCAGAAATAAAAAATTTCCATTGTCTGGGACAAGAAGGCTGTAAGGTTTTTTGAGGTCCTCTTGGGCCAAGAACAGAGCTTCCCCAAAATGCAACCCACATTAGTTGCATAACTCATAGGTACCTATTTACTGCTACATGTAAGGAAATATTCCCAAATGTGTTGCCCTGCCTTGGTAGCTCTTCATTTCCCAACCATGTGTGTGCTTGTCTAGGCTGGGTGGAAATTAGGGTTTGCTGACCAAACCACACACTAGAAATTGAAGAGACGACATTTCGGTCCATCCTGGACCGTTATCAAGTCAGATCATTATATAGTCACAATCGACTTTATAATGGTCCAGGACAGATCGAAATGTCGTCGTCTCTTCAATTTCTAGTGTGTGGTTTGGTCGACATTTTTCAGCCACGTTATTGACGCTTTGTGCAAGTACTGTACTTAGTCTACTAAGGATCACATAATTCAACTATGGAAAGCTACTATGTTCAAAAAGGTAAGTTTAATTTGTTTTTTTCCATATTCCACACCACTGTCTCTTATACATATAAATATACACTAATCCCAAAAAGCTTAACTTAACCATTTTCTTATAGGATCTGTACATGTATGTACAGTACCTTAAAATAAATACCACTTTCCATTTAAAAAATGTCATATTTAAAATATAGTTGAGGTACTGTATATCAGAATAAAATGGTATGGGTATCTATTTTACAATTGTATTCTTTTACAAATATAGTACAAACAAATATAACACGAGATGGAAATGCACTACTACATTTACTACGAGATGGATATGTACTACTAAAAAAATCTATATTTATTGTGTTGAAAAATTGTGACAGCTACAGTACTACAAGGGCAGCATGAACACAGAATTTTAAGTTGTATCTTGCTTATGGGGGATCAAGCTTTTCTGCTGAGTATTAAATGGCCCATAAAATTCAAAGCAACAAATGACTGTTAAATATCATTTTTTCATTGTCTATTTTATGAACCATGTGTTTTCTTGGAAAAAGTACATATCCAGTAAAGTAGAATAAAATTGATTGCCCTAAATTGACCTTCAGAATTTAACCTATGTATTTTGTTCTTTAATGAAAATGTTAATTAATATACAATACATGGGCAGAACTGATCTTGGAACTGTATTTGACAGGATGGGAAAGTATGCGTGACACAAGTAGCAAATCTTCTCCTCTGCATCTATGCCAAGGACAATGTAGGATTTGGTCTTCTTCGAGCCAAGACCCAGGCTCTTGCCAAGTATCTAGATGGACCATTGCGGCAGGTTGCTGCAGCATGAACATCATTACATCGTGGCATTTTCTACTTCTATTATGTTTACCTTGTACTGTATTGTCTAAACAATTTTGCTCATAGTAATAAAGTGCTTACATGTAAGGCCAACTGATTATATCTCTTAAGTTTGATTTTCCTGAAAGGCTCTAGTTTATATGGCATTATGCAATGATGTCTTATTTATCCAATTAAATTAGTTGTAGAGAGTGATGTTGTAGCACAATATTTTCTGTTTTTGTGAATACCTAAGTGTAGTTACAGGATGAGAGCTATGCTCATGATGTCCCATTTTCCCAAAACTCTATCGTATGATGCTTTGAAATGGTATGATGATTTTGGCATCCACCACCACCTCACTTATCTTCCAATCATCTACCACTGTTTGCAAAAGAGAACCTTGTAATTTTTTAGCATCTTTACATATGTTGAATCTGTGACCTCTGGTTCTTGAACAACTTTTCTGTCCTTTTTGAATGCAGTTTAAACTTACAAAGAAAAAATTGAATTCATTATCTGGCTCCATTTGATTACAGGCAATTAATATTGTAGTTTCAGTATAGAAGCTAACATTAATATTGGTGCTGGTAAGATGTTACATAGTGTGGAGCAGATTTGATGTTTGCAATGCTTGCATGTCACATAACACGTGACTTAACAAATTAAAAAAAAAAACCATGGCAGAAAAATTGAAATGAGCTGAATGCTTTCTTCCCTCTAGGGCACTGGTTCCTAAACTGCAGTGGAGGAGGGGGGGGGGGCTTTTACTGAGTGTAGGGGGCCATTAATAAGGGTAATGACCATAGTTTGGGAATCACTGCTCTAGGGAATGACATCAGAGACTAAACATATTTACCTAACTTTACCTGAGGGCCACTAATATTAGAGACCTTGACGAGGACAGGAGGCTGGTGGCTTATCAAAGGTCCCCACCATTTGCCCTGATGATATAGACAGAACAGAGCTTGAAATAAATACTGTAGTAGGCAACTAACCCAAAAACATGAACTTGAAAAGAAATGTAAATGAGAAACATTTAGAAAAATTATGGAATTAAATAATATAAAACGGCAAAAATTATTTGAATTTAAACACATGAATTAAAATGTAATGAGTTACGCCATTAAGCTAATGAGAGGTTGGAGCGAGTATATTGTTTACCCGCTACAAATCCCTCCCTTTCCACTCAAGAAGCAAAATAGAGATCAGCCCAAGCTTTGTCTTGAGGCAAAGTTCAATGCCTTAGGCCATGTTGATGCTCTGTCCACAGAGCATTCTCTCTCTCAAATCATATACATTGATGGTTCCCTACACTGCCCCCATGGGTGCAGCTGGAAGTGCATTTGTCCTAACAATGGGCGATGACTTACATTTTGAGTGGGGAGTCTGTATAAACAGACGAGTCTCTACCCTTCAGACCGAACTATTTGCCTTGCTTCTTGTACTGAAATGTGTACTAGTCTCCAACCTTGATACATTAATTTTAAGTGACTTTAATATCCTTAATTGTTCTCAACTCTTCAGGACATAACTAACATGCTCGAGTCTGAAGCTAGACACAAATACAACAAAATTATTAATGATGGCAACAGTCCATTCATGTGGTCTCCATCTCGTGTTGGCCTCCGAATGCATGATGAGTTAGCCAAAGCATCTGCCTTTCGGATTTTTTTAATTTGAATTTCAATTTAAGGAGAAATTGAATGTAACCTTGGATTGTAAATGAGAGATTGTCTGAGAGCAATAGTCAACCAAGAATTTCAACAAAATCTTGTATGTGAAGGGATTGGAAAGGATGGAGGAGGTAGAGGGATGGGGAGATGAAATTCAGGAAGAGGATATGGGTGTAGAGAGAGAGAGGAGGTTTGAAAGTTCGGTGGCCTGTCCACCATGGGTTGACATATGTGTTGTTTGTTTGCATATGTGTTATGTTGGGTTGTCAGTACATTGGCTGGGGGGGCTAGTGTTTGTGACCTTGCTGGTGTCCTAAAGCACTAGAGCCGATGAAGTAGGCTGAAGGAGGTTAATCTTAGCAACATCAGGGTAGTTACACTTCTGATACCACGACAAAGGGTTTTTAAGAACATAAGAACAAAGGTAACTGCAGAAGGCCTATTGGCCCATACGAGGCAGCTCCTATTCTATAACCACCCAATCCCACTCATATACTTGTCCAACCCGCGCTTGAAACAATCGAGGGACCCCACCTCCACCACGTTACGCGGCAATTGGTTCCACAAATCAACAACCCTGTTACTGAACCAGTATTTACCCAAGTCTTTCCTAAATATAAACTTATCCAATTTATACCCAAAATTTATATTTTGGTTTTATATTTTTTTGTTGTACAGTAGTTTTATTTATTTTTTTTTAATATATATATTGAGTGATTCTTCTGGTTGTGTGGTGGTTCGTGGATCTCGTAGTCGCTGGTGGTGTTTTCTGCTACGTAGGGATCTTCGGGGTCTGGGACATATATGTTCTTCATGCGGTACAGCTGTCTTCTGGCCAGGTAGCTGAGCCTGATGTTCATTGGCTTCATGTTGAGCGTCTCATGGATTTGGTCAGTTCTTACCCTGTCCATCAGAGTCAGGATCTCCGCAAAGCGAAGTGCTTTATTTTGTACTCGTTGGATCTTCAGCATGTTGGATTTGTTGGTGAGGTTCAGGGGAACGTAAGGGTATTCCAGGCTAGGCCTTATGATCATTCTGTACAGGTGGAGCTTGATGTGGGATGGGGCTTGCTTGAAACGGAAGAGCCTCGCCAGTGAGCCCTGGGCCATCGCTGTCTTCTGGGATACGTACCGGGAGGAGTTGAGTAGCCTGTTGAAGTTGTAACCGAGCACTGTGTTGGAGTTTGAGATGGCTATGGGTTCACCCCTGATTCTTATCCCCCCCCCCCCCACCATTTTCGATTGAGAAGGCCATACAGCCGACAGTGCTTAATTGGATCTTTTCTGGGTTAGTGGTAATCCTCCATTTCCTTTCCCAGTTAGTAGTCCTGGCTAGTTCTACGTTTGCCTTACAGGTTACAGTTGCATGCTTGGCTGCTTGGGTTAGATGTTATGAGGAGCTTTGTGACCCACTGTCAACCATATTTAATAAATCAATAGAGACAGGCAGAGTGCCAGAGTTTTGGAAAGTTGCTAATGTGATACCAGTTTTTAAGAAAGGAGATAGATCACTTGCGTCTAACTATCGACCAATTAGCCTAACGTCTATTGTGGGAAAGTTGCTCGAATCTATAATAGCAAATAAAATTCGTCTTCATCTTGAAAAACATAAATTAATAATTGAGTCGCAACATGGTTTTATAAATGGCCGTTCATGTTTAACAAATTTGTTATCTTTTTATTCTAGCATTGTTGAGGCAGTTGATAGTGGTAAGGATTGCGATGTTGTATACCTTGACTTTAGCAAAGCTTTTGATACAGTGCCACATGAAAGACTGATTAAAAAGATAGTCTCATGGTATTGGGGGTTCTATATTAAGCTGGATTAGGGCATGGCTATACCAAAGGAAACAGAGAGTTAGTATAAATGGAATCAAGTCAGAGTGGGAAAATGTTGTAAGTGGAGTGCCTCAAGGCTCTGTCCTGGGACCTCTGTTGTTTATAATATATATAAATGATTTAGATTCAGGTTTGAGTAGCAACATTTGCAAATTTGCCGATGATACGAAAATCGGTAGGGAAATTAATTCGGAGGAGGACTCACTATCACTTCAAGTTGATCTAGATAGGGTTTTGAAATGGTCAAAGGATTGGCAGATGCAGTTTAATGCTGATAAATGTAAAGTTCTGAGGTTAGGTAATGATGATAGAGTTACAAGATACGAGCTAGATGGTGTTGTGATTGCGAAGTCGGATTGCGAAAGGGATCTGGGAGTTATGATTAGTAAGAATTTAAAACAAAAGGATCAATGCATAAATGTTCGTAATAAGGCAAATCGGACACTTGGATTTATTAATCGCAGCGTTAGTAACAAGACACCTGGTGTGGTTCTCAAGCTATATCTTGCTCTAGTTAGGCCCCATTTAGATTATGCAGTTCAGTTTTGGTCGCCATATTATAGAATGGATATAAATTCACTTGAACGTGTCCAGCGTAGGATGACTAAGTTAATTCCCCAAATTAGAAATCTTTCATATGAAGAAAGATTAACAAAGCTTAAGTTGCATTCACTGGAAAGGCGAAGAGTTAGGGGTGACATGATAGAGGTTTACAAGTGGATGAATGGACATAACCGGGGGGATATTAATAGGGTATTAAAAGTATCAACACAGGACAGAACACGAAACAATGGGTATAAATTGGATAAGTTTAGATTTAGGAAAGACTTGGGTAAATACTGTTTCAGTAACAGGGTTGTTGATTTGTGGAACCAATTGCCGCGTAACATTGTGGAGGTGGGGTCCCTCGATTGTTTCAAGCACGGGTTGGACAAGTATATGAGTGGGATTGGGTGGTTATAGAATAGGAGCTGCCTCGTATGGGCCAACAGGCCTTCTGCAGTTGCCTTTGTTCTTATGTTCTTATGACGTGTGTTACGTCGTCCGCAAATTGCACGATAATGGTGTCCCTATACTCATAAGAACATAAGAACAAAGGTAACTGCAGAAGGCCTATTGGCCCATACGAGGCAGCTCCTATCTATAACCACCCAATCCCACTCATATAAATGTCCAACCTGCGCTTGAAACAATCGAAGGACCCCATCTCCACCACGTTACGCGGCAATTGGTTCCACAATTCAACAACCCTGTTACCGAACCAGTATTTACCCAAGTCTTTCCTAAATCTAAACTTAAACAATTTATACCCATTGTTTTGTATTCTGTCTTGTGTTGATAATTTTAATACCCTATTAATATCCCCTTTGTTATGTCCATTCATCCACTTGTAAACCTCTATCATGTCACCCCTAACTCTTCGCCTTTCCAGTGAATGCAATTTAAGCTTTGTTAATCTTTCTTCATATGAAAGATTTCTAATTTGGGGAATTAACTTAGTCATCCTTCGCTGGACACGTTCAAGTGAATTTATATCCATTCTATAGTACGGCGACCAAAACTGAACTGCATAATCTAAATGGGGCCTAACCAGAGCAAGATATAGCTGAAGAACCACACTAGGTGTCTTGTTACTAACGCTGCGATTAATAAATCCCAGTGTCCTATTTGCCTTATTACGAACATTCATGCATTGATCCTTTTGTTTTAAATTCTTACTTATCATAACTCCCAGATCCCTTTCGCAATTCAACTTCGCAATCTCAACACCATCTAGCTCGTATCTTGTAACTCTTATCGTCATTACCTAGCCTCAAAACTTTACATTTATTAGCATTAAACTGCATCTGCCAGTCTTTTGACCATTTTAAAACCCTATTTAGATCAACTTGAAGTGATAGCGAGTCTTCTTCCGTGTTAATTTCCCTACCGATTTTTGTATCATCTACAAATTTGCAGATAAGAACATAAGAACAAAGGTAACTGCAGAAGGCCTATTGGCCCATACGAGGCAGCTCCTATTTATAACCACCCAATCCCACTCATATACTTGTCCAACCCACGCTTGAAACAATCGAGGGACACCACCTCCACCACGTTACGCGGTAATTGGTTCCACAAATCAACAACCCTGTTACGGAACCAGTATTTACCCAAGTCTTTCCTAAATCTAAACTTATCCAATTTATACCCATTGTTTCGTGTTCTATCTTGTGTTGATACTTTTAATACCCTATTAATATCCCCTTTGTTATGTCCATTCACCCACTTGTAAACTTCTATCATGTCACCCCTAACTCTTCGTCTTTCCAGTGAATGCAATTTAAGCTTTATTAATCTTTCTTCATATGAAAGATTTCTAATTTGGGGAATTAACTTAGTCATCCTACGCTGGACACGTTCACCTGGACATTTATTAAAAATAAATTACAAATGATGAATGGGCATAACAAGGAGGATATTAATAGGGTATTAAAAGTGTCAACGCAAGACCGAACATGAAACAATGGGTATGAGTTGGACAAGTTTAGATTTAGGAAAGAACTGGGTAAATTCTGGTTCTGTAATAAGATTGTTGTTTTGTGGAACCATATACTGCGTAACATAATAGAAGGAGGATCCCTTGATTGTTTAACGCGTAGATTAGACATATATATGAATGAGATTGGGTGAATATAAATAGACGTTGCCTAAATAAATAGACCCCTGCCTCGTATGGGCAAATAGGCCTTCTGCAGTTACCTTCATTCTTATGTTCTTGTGTTACTCAGGTAAGGGGATAATGACATGAGGAAGGAAGAAGAAGGAAGTGCACCTCTCCTCTAAGAGGGTATATAAGCCACTGTTTCAAGCGTAAATAATTCTTACGGGCTATTCATGTCCGTGCCACTTCATGGGTACGGCTTAATCTTTATCAATCAATCGCGTAAATAATCACTGGTGATTATTGCTACCAAGCAATATTTTTTCCAACAGTTTTATGAGCCTGCTTGCAAAGGCGTAGAAATTTTCTGTTTGAGGAAAACGAGTGAATCTTCCACCACTTGACAGTTTGTCGTCTGTGATCGCCTTTACCCGAACGGTACCCAGGTAAGCCATAAGAGTTATTGATTATTTATAACTATAGATGATTTATTTACCCTTATGTTGCTAGAAGACAGAACTAGAACCCGAGTTTTTAGGTTAGTTTCACACACTTTCTTGTCTGTGGTTTGGTCAACAGTTTAGTTCAATTCGTTTATTATGCAATGATCGGTTCATTTATTATGCACCCCATACCCATCTTGTGGGCGGTAGTGGAAAGGGTTACATAATGGGTTCAGGGACTGAACCCCACAATTCATTTAGCTAAACGAGTTAGTCTTGATTAGCTTGTTACAAAATTCAGTGCACATCATCAATGGAGTCGAGACTGACCACAAGTACGGTTTCTAAATTAAGTATCTAACTTGTGGAGATCCTCTGTAATTATGTTTGTACTCCCTCAACCATAGAAAGCGATAAATACGTTAACGTTACAAATTTTGCTAGTAGCGGCTTTTATTTATTTCAGCCGCTACTAGGTTTTTATTTATTTTTATATGCATTGCATTGGACCAAATTAATCGGTAAAACATCAGTAACATTAAAATTTGGAATACATATTTTAGAAACATATAGACAAATGTGCAATAAATAAAATAAATGTAACACAATACTTATGCACCATACTTGAATATATATATTATTTTTTATGCCACATAGCAGGTACGAAAGATTTTATTGGCTATTGAGGTTTACTACATGCTTTAACTAGTTCACTGTAAATTGTATATATGCTTGTAATTTACATTAAACAATATCTAATTTCAGGATTTAAAAAATGAACACACCAAGTCTGCCACTGTCCTTCTGCAGACATGAAGCTGAGGGTGATAAACCGAAGAAAACACGAGAGGAATGGAAGAAGGCTAAGGAACTTGATGACGCTCAGAAAGCTGGTACAGTCCCAGCTGCTGTTGATGAAGAGGGTAAAGACATCAATCCTCACATTCCTCAATATATAGCTACAGCACCCTACTTTGGTTCATGTCGTCCAACACTTACACATCAACGTCCACAACCAAAAGAAGAAAGCGACTTTGATAGAAAGAGAGGTAGGTGGAATGGTTTTGACCCATCAGATAATACAGCTGTTGTTGAAGAACATAAAAAAGTTGAAGATTATAGGAGACATATAAAGGCTCAAAAATTAAAGGACGAAGAGATGAGTGATGATGAACCTGAAGATGAAGACAAAAATGTTGACAGTGTCGACATGCCAGGTACAAAAGTGGACAGTAAGCAGAGAATTACAGTGCGTAACTTGCGTATACCTGAAGACACAGCCAAGTACTTAAGAAATTTAGACCCTGATTCAGCTCATTACGATGCCAAGTCTCGCTCCATGAGAGAGAACCCTTACAATGGGAGAAAGAAAGATGAGGTTGACTTTGCTGGTGAGAATTTTGCAAGATTTTCAGGAGATACTGTTGACCAAGCTAAAGCTCAACTCTCTGCCTTGGATGCTTATGAAAAAGGTGTAGATGTCAGCCTACAGGCTGAACCTACAAAGCTTGAATTGCCTGAAAAGCAGTTTGTTAACAAGATGGAAGAGTTCAATAAAAAAGCATTTGATGATTTTTTAGAAAAATATGGTGGAAAGGAGCATTTAAATGCTCCTTTCCCAAACAGAAAATTATTAATATCCCAAACAGAAAATTATGTTGAGTACTCCAGAAATGGTGAAATTATTCAACGTGCTGAAAAACAGACTGTACGATCTAAATATGAAGAAGATGTATATCCTGGAAATCACACAAGTGTTTGGGGAAGTTACTGGCAAGATGGCATATGGGGATATAATTGCTGCCATTCTTTTGTAAAAAAATCATATTGCACTGGTGAAGCTGGAAAACAGGCCAAACCTAAGTTATTACCCAGTGCATCTACCTCTTCTGTTAACACCAGATCTCACAAAACTAGTTCTACTGAAGAAGAGCTAAATACAAAAACTTTACTTGAAATTCACAGAGAGAAGAAAAAGATGAGGAAGAAGCAAAAGAAAGAAAAGAAGAGGATGCAAAAGCAAGAAAAGAAAGAAAAGAAGAGGATGCAAAAGAAAGAAAAGAGGTTGCAAAAGAAAGAAAAGAGGATGCAAAAGAAACAAGAGGAGAAGATGCAAAAGCAAGTAAAGAAAGAAAAGAGGTTGCAAAAGAAACAAGAGGAGAGGATACAAAGGGAGACGGAGAAACAAAAGAGGAAGGAAAGCAGTAGTAGGGAGTCCAGCAGTGAAGATATCGAACAGTACGGACCGAAACGTCGTCGTTTCTCTTTTTAATAATGTGTGGTTTGGTGATCATATAACTCCTGTTTTGAGTAATGATATTTACATTTGAGTGTTGAGAATAGAAAACACCATTTTAAAATCTGTAATACTACGTGCCTTATGGTCTTCATACATTCCTTCAACATCCCTTGCAAGGAATAGTATGACTGTATAGAATCAGTGCCCGATACTTAAAAGAAAATACAGTATCAAACACTCTCAAAGTAATATAATAAATGTTGAATTCAAGAGACTGGTTTTATTTCCTTTTAGATGGAGGAACAAGATCATATATTTTGAAAAAAAATGGGAAATGAAATGTTGATTTCCTGTAAGTATGGTAGTTATGAATATTAAAATTACGTCAATATGAACTTTCCATAAACTTCTTCATGCAGGAAACTAATAAATCCTTGTGCATAAACGTTATTATATAACATTTTATTAATAAAATTAACACAGCTACTTCAAAGAACATACATCCATTGGCTCAGTCTACTAGACTTAGTATTTGGATTGATAAAACAGTTGTGAAAAGAAATTGTTGATTAGTCAGAAATTCTGGCTTTAGCACACTAGTAGGTGCCCTCAGCCTGGATGTTGAATCCGGCGTCCTGTCTCTCCGACCGTCATGATCGCTACTGCCTTTGCTACCTTGCGCGGTCCTTACAATACCTTCACGCTTCCTTATGTCGTGCTTTGACTTTTGCCCCTCCTGTGGTCCCTGTTCCCCTTCACCACCTCCCTTTTTCTGTACGGTTGACTCACCTACAGAATTCTCAATCGGTTTCTCAATTCTCAATATTAATATCCTAAGGAATCTACTCCAAGCTTGTACTAAAGAGGCACCCTTCTTGAGCCCGGATGGACACATGTATAAGCAAGTAGATGGGGTCGCCATGGGTTCTCCCCTAGGTGTCCTGTTTGCAAACTTCTACATGGGTACCATCGAGCAAAAAGTCTTAGTCGACATGAACTTGAAACCGGCCATATACTGCAGGT